CGCCTTCGCCTTCGTACCCGTGGGACCAGACCGAGAGCGCGGTACCCATACCTGGCCGACGCATACCGGGCCGGATTAGAAGACGGTACCCGTAGGTACCCGCCCCGCCCGCCCCGCCGCCCCGCCATCCGCAGGGACCCGCGGGCAGAATAAAGAGGGCGAGGCGCACGGCCGGCACGGCCAGCCACAGCACGGCCTGCCACAGCACGGCCCGTGGCACGGCGGGGCTTCTCCTCTCGACCGCCCGAACCGGTCCGGTCCACATTACACCGGCAACGCCAGGCAACGCCGGGCACCGCCACTCCATGCGACTTTTTGTTGCAATGAATGGACCGGGCTTGCTGCTGCCGTCTGGCCGCCCTCCAAGGCCCGCCCTCCAAGGCCCGCCCGCCGCTCGCTGCTAAGCGAGGCTTTCGGCCCTTCCCTTCCAGTGCCCTCGGCGCGGCGCGGCCGGCTCGCAACAACACCCTGTAGTGCCCCGCTCGCCTTGCCACCCTCGGCGAGTACCGCCGCCACGCCGCCGCCGACTGGCCGCGCGACGCGCCGTAAGGTGACACCGCCGCAGAGGACGTCCAGGAAAAGGGGAGACCGGAGTGCCCCCACCTCCGTCGCCTCCCTTCAAATGCACATAGCCGGCCGGGCGGGGCGGGGCGGTCCGTAACTGCGATAAGTCGATCAGGCATGATGCCGGCCCCTGATCGATATTCAGACACACAAACAGGCCTGCATGTGTGCTGGGGAAGGGAAAGGGGAGGGGGACACGCCAATCTAATCACGGCAGCATCGCGCCGTCGAGTCTCCGAGTCCAAGGCGCCGGCCTCCGGTCCCGGTTCCGTCCCGTTCGGACGACGGGCGACGGCGTGGTGCCCCCGTTTTGGTTCAAAAACTGCGTTGACTATCGTCAGCTCCTCCGGGCTCCCTGCCCGCGACTTGTGCTCGACGTCAGCGAAAGCAGCCCTGTCACTCCGTCACTGTACCGACTGGCTCCCGGCGCGATAGACATATTTCTGCATTGCCGCCCGAGACGCAGCGTCATCCCAACTCGAGCAAACAATCGATGGAGGAGAGAGAACCTCGTCAAAAAGACGGACGGACGTCAACGCCCCCGCACCCCGTACGAAAAAACCGAAACGGAGGCCGTTTTCGGACGAAGACAATCTTCGGGCGGAAATCAATTTTTACATTCGGTAAATAACGGTCGCCGGGGGGCCCGATGCGGCGCAGGGCGGGAATGGGGCCGACGAATTTCTCATCGAGAGTGACATTGTGACACCGCGACGCGTCGCGGGGGCCTCCCCTAATCCTCGCGCGCGCCGTGCGGCCGCGAAGGCTGTTTGAAGCGAGAATAAATAAGATAACCGGGCGGGCCTCCGCGGAGAGGAGTGGCGAGACTTTACCCCGGCCGCGAGCCGCGTGGGGATCTGAATCTGAATCTCGGCAGACGCAGACGCGACTGGCCGCGGCGACATGGCAGCGCGTCGACGGACCGACGCTCAAGCCGACGGCGCCGACGGGCTCCTCGCTCGCGGACGCGCCCTTATCTCGCTGGGACGGCCGAGGGGCTGGGGCTGCCTGGCCTATCGCGCCACCGAGCCGCCGTCGCCGTCGCCGTCAGGCCGCCTCGCCGCAAGCCGGAGGCCGCCGCCGCCAGGCCGCAGTCGCAGTGACGAGGAGTTTATCAAAATCGACATTGTCGCCTCGGCTGTGTTGGCGCTGGGTAGAAATCTCCGGCCTCAGTCCCGGAGTCGCGGACTCGGCGTTCGATCCAGAACTGGGCCACCCCATCAGGCGCGGCCTCTCCTTGTACGGGGGCAGAGACGACGGCGGCGGCATACCAAAACGCCGCGGCCGCCGAGCGCGACGTCGACGTGCGGCGAACGCGGCGAACGAGCGACATCCATCAGGGAAATAAAAAACGCTGCGTCAGTGTTCGTGTTCGCGTTGTAAGACTGTGGCGCTGTCTATCCCCGACAGACAGCGCGGACTGACTGCGCGCGGACTTTGAACGGCGGCAAGTGAAGTGAGTCGCGCCGGCGCCGCGGTCCAGCCAATCGGGAGGCAGAGGCGCGACGGCGACACAGCGCAGAGCGCACAGCGCAGAGCTCTGCTAAGTGACGCCCGTTTAAACCCTAATTAATCCTCGGCCGACTCGGCACGCTCAGCTAAAGCGCCACGTGACTTGCGAATACAGGGGGCCTTGTCCGCGCCGACGGCCCGCTCTGCCGCTAGCCGCGGCGGGCTCCTTGGGGCTCAACCTCAGCCGCCTCAGCCGGCCGAGGAAAAATAACAACAATGAATGAATCAGTTGGCTGGCCAATCAGAGCCTCGATTCCAATTTTGTGAGCCGCGGGTTGAACGGCCGCCCGCTACGCTTTGGTGGCGGCGTGCGGGTGGGGGAGCGAGGGATGCCACCCCACCACCCCCACCCCGCGCCGGGGTTGTTGACAAACACCGCCACGTGGTCGATACGGCGAGACGCGGCTGGCGGCATGGACGGCATGGCGGCGCCGGGAAGGTAGGCCATCGGGGCGCTGCACAGCGGGCCAGCAGACCGGAAGAGGCGGCAAAAATTCGCGACGCGAGCTCCAGAGTCGCTAAATGGGGCTCGAAATGAACGTGTGACCCCACCAATGAATTGCTCTCCGAACGAGGAATCCATTGATGGGTTCACACGCTCGGTTCGAATCCCATTTAGTGACTCTGGAGCTCAAAACGCGTCTAGAGTTTTGGCCGTCTCCACTGTTCTTCTCGCCCACTGTGCGGGGCTTCACGTTTACACGGTAAGGAGTGCGCGGCAGGTCCGCGGTCCGGGCCGCGAGCCCAAGCAGACGATCAGGCCGGCGCAGACAGCCTCGGGCCGTACTTACCGCAGTACAGGCCGTAAACGCCACGCCGCCGTAACGTCGCTAATTTACATGGGACAAGACGAGACGAGCCCCACGCTGCGCTGCGCCGCGCTGCGCCAAGTGGCCGTTCGCGACTGTTCGACTCCGTGCCGCTTTTGTTCGTCGTCGTGAATCGCGACATTGTTTCCCGTCCCGCGGACCGGACTGGGCAGACTGGGCGTTCATCTCCATCACTCTGGGCTTGGCTTTACAGTGCTGGTGCTGCGGGTCCATCATTCCCTGCGCCGCAGCGCCGGCAGGAAGTCCCGGGCATTACTGCTTCCCGGCATTCTTGTCGACCGAACAGAAATCCGACGAGACGGCGGCGAGTGCGGCGAGGCGAGTGCGGCGAGTACGGCACACGGAAGGGAAGGGCAGGGCGGGGAAGAGCCGGCCGGCCGTCGCCGTCGCCGCGGGCCCGGGTCCATCCTGTCTGCGTTTCCAGCGGCCAGCCAGCGGAGCCAGCGCAGCCAGCGGCACGCCCTGTTATTAAATCGTTGTTAAGCGAGTAATCGCTTCAATTTCAATTTCACGCGCAAGGTCGCTGCCAGCATGCTGCCAGCGAGCGCTTGCGTCCCGGACGGTCCCGGACGCTAGCGCTGGCGTGCTCCCGTTCCACATCCAGTGCCCGCCAGTGCCCGCCTTGGCTCTGGACCATGGTTACTACGGTGGGCTGGTGGGCGGATACTGAAGGGAAACCACTGGCCGGGCGGCCGGGCGGACCGCGGACGGACGGACGGACGCGCGTGGGAATCGGCGGATTCAAGCCTTCAAGCCCGCGCGCGGCTGCCCGCACCGCGCCCGGTGGACGGGAAGCCTGTATCGGACAGGTGACAGTGGTCAAGATGTACACACGAACTCGGGTTTCGATTTTTGAGGGCCCTAGAGGAGCGTTCCCATGTGACATCTACACTGCGGCCTGATGCCGTATACTATTACGACTACCCACCCACCGGCTAGCGTCCTTGCGGCGCGTAGGCCACGCGCTCACACACACACACACACACACGCTTGGGTTTCCCGCGTCGGCAGGTCATCGGGCCGGAGACAATAAGCGTGCCGATAGCCGCGATGTGGACTATCGGCCATGTGTGGCTCTCGCTAGTCGCGGCTTCGCGGCTCCCGCTCGGCGGCCTTCTTGGGCGCGCACCGCGCGAGGTGGCCGTGGTGGCCGCGCAGTCGGCTGGGTCGCCATTGTCCTGACCTGACACTCGGTTCGAATCACTCGCCGCGCCGACCGCGACGCACAGCTGTGCATATCTACACTATCTAGGCCGCGAAGCGGTGAAAGACGCTCGGAGGCACGTCGCCGTGCCGTCGCACCGTCATCCAAAGTCCTGTCCCGCCCCTGTCCGTCGACGGGACGGCGTAGGAAGGCGTGTTCGAGTATCGACAGCCCCACGATAGCAGGCCTGACAAATCAGCAGACAACAAAACTCCCACGCAACGCGCCCATCGCAGGGGTTTCCCATTCTATTGGCGAACAATTGAGATGGACAAAGTTGTCTGTTTCTTTCCAGGTACTGCCGGGCGCCACTTGTTGAATTCGTTTGCCTCTAAGCTCCGCGCGGGTGAGCTTGAACGACTTTTTGGCGCATCCATCTAGGGAAGGCCGGACTTGGCCGGACTACACTGCGGGCACCGGATCAGAATGCGAGACAGTCAGCACACGTGTGAGGACTGAGGACGCCGTGTGGCTTTGTCAGAGGCAGCCCGCCCCGCCCTTGAGCTAACGAGAACGAGAAAGACTTTGTCTCACTCCCCCCAACAGCGAGCCCGCGCCCGCGAGACGAAGAGCGCATGCCATTTTTGAACGCCGTTTCGGTCAGTGTGTTCCCTGCCCCCTCCCCCCTCCGGCGTGACTCTGTTCTGTTCCGAATGCATGGCTGTGACAGTGACTTGCCGCTAGGGCGCTTCAAGGGTCTTTGGTTACTTCAGGTTACTGCTACAGTCTCAGTGTTTCGTCAGCAGTGCTGCAGTTTCCAGTCTCATTTGACGTTCTTCTCATCTCTCTTTCTTAATGACTTTTATCAAGGTTCTGTTAAATCACCTCCTTCTCATGGGCTTTCTTTGTATGGTTTCAGGATGCTTTTGGTGAGGGCTAATAACAAAATATTTTCAATCTAAGCACTTGTAAAATTTATTTGTTACTGAGAGAAATTTACAACTGTACAAGGCAACGGGCATGAAAGTTGATATAAATGATACTGCATTGCCTTGGGAATGTACGATGCTGGCTCAGTTCGACTTGTAGAGGAGTCTGTATGCCAACTGCCTTTAGATGGCGGTACCTTGCCGTAACGAAAGAGTACAATATGGTCCCAATAGAACAAGTACAAAAACTTTGTGCAAACTCTACATTAATACTTAATATCAGACTTGTATGTAACAATTGGAATCTTGACAGAAAATTTGAAACCTACATTACAAAAGGTACAATAATAAAGAAGGCACATTTGGTGATCGTACTCATATGCACCACTTACGTCAGAGAATATCCCACAAAAATGAAAACGCTATGAGCATTAAATCAGATTCAAATATATGCAGTTGGCTGTACAATAAAGATGTCCTCAACAGTTAAAAACTGCAAATTTATTTTTAAATGCAGTTTTGTTTTAAAAAAAAAATTGTATAAATACGACTTGAAATTTGATTTAGAAATTGCTCCTCCCTTTGAAAGAAGTCAATTTGTCCCATATCCAATGAAGGGACAACCCAGCAAACATAATTCCTAAATAATTTTTACACAGCAGTAAAAAAATACAATAAACTAGATATAATATACTAAGATCACAATATGGATAACGGTGTACACCTCTTTAAAATTAGCACTCATGCACACACACACATTCACACAAACAATGCATTTCACATCATAACAGCAAAGAGAACAAACTGACGAGTCTTCTGCAGAATGAGTGATAATGTCGACAAATATCACAAAGCAAAATTGTTTCAAAAACACCTTAAATTTGTGGATAAATCTCAAAACAAAGGGAAAAATATTTCCAACCCTACAATGACTGAAACAGCGATTGCTCTGATAAGTTGTCAGCCAATTATCCCTAACTTAATCAACCCTCCCACTAATCACGAACATTATTGGGCAAATTGATAGGTATAATAACAGCTGTGACATGGCAGGCATAACGAAATGCAACTTAGCATAATGCCTATGAGACAGCTCATTCTTGAGCCTTATTGATACATGTAGCAATAAATTTAAGAATTATCTCAAGGCAAAATGAGATGTCTTCAAAACATAAAGAACAGAGCAAGCATGTTCTTAACTGCATAGTCCCAAAACCTCAAATGACGACATCAATCCATTGGTTCAAAATTAAGACTGAACCATCAAATATAAATAAACCATCGGAAGTAAATGTATAAAATATAAATAATGTCTACATTGGGGCAGTGTGAGATCTTCGGCAATCATAAAAACAGATTGAAGTTCACTCCTACAGAACATTCAATTTTCACTTTGATGATGGTATTTACAATAATTATGTACAAATGGAGAAACATCCAGCTAGTCAGCATGCCTAACACCATGAGGATTTAAATGTCACTCTTAACTTTTGAAATAAAATCATGGCAGGGTCTTATAACTTGATAACTAATTAACAAGACAAAATAAAGTACACTTCCAGTCTGGTGGAATTTAGCTGCCAATTGCCTTACATTGTACCTATATTACAACTAAGCATGAACACAACAGGATTATGAGACACAAAGTCCATTTATAAATACATTTGTTAATTTTACAGATGAAATGCAGAAAAGGAGTGGCTATGTTTAGTCTTCCGAGGTTTTGGGACATCCAATGCTCTAAGCATTGAACTCCCTGCCAACAGCATCCAAATTTCATTTTTATTTAAAAACAAATAAAACAAAAAAATCCCCTTGTATTGTTTTAAACAATATCTACTCAAGATCTTGTACAGACTTAGGATGGTACTTTACACACCAACAAAACAATGCTCCACACACACAATGATAAAAAAAAATGTAAAAAAAAAAAAGAACAGCAGACAATTTGTCCTTGTAAAAAGGAATGGGTTCATGGAATAATTGCTAATTTCTCTTGAGCGTCAACAAGCAGAAAGTTGATTCATATAAAATTACTTTGTAATTGACATATGACAAAAAAAAGGGCATGCATTTCACGGGTAAAAGTTCTGAAACACACAGGTCAAATTTTATAGAGAATAAGGAATGCTATGCAGCACACTCTTTGAAGTCAACATACAATTAATTGGTCAAGTTAATTAAAACATCAAGTCTCATTTGAAACAAATAGGAAAAATCCAAAAGGTTTGTAAATAAATTATTATAAAATGTCAATAGTAGAAAAACCTACTTTACTATTCAGCGATTACCCATGGGTTGTAAAATACCTCACATGAGCAGGAAGCTCTTGATTTGGAAAATTCATATGAAATAAAGAGTCAAATAAAAGGAAACAGAATATTGTGAAGTCTTTTGAGCTTGTTGATCACAGGAAGGTTTCTCCCATCATACACAACAATTGTATTGCTTCAGGTAGACAAATGATGTTTCCTTAAACCATCTCAGAACACATTCTTTGAACTATATCTGAATCAAGCCAAAGGGCTTGCAGCTTACAAAAATATGGAATGAAGAACACAGGTTGGATATGAATTTTAGGCTCCAAAACTCTGAGCAATAAAGGTGTGACTCATGAGTCGCAATAAATTGTTCCATAAAAGTCAGAAAAAATCTGAATGCATTAGACCCGCTCTTTGCCTTCTAATTTCTTGGCAAGATCAGATATCAATTCCTTGAAGATGAGAGGGTCGATATTCCTTGACAGCTGGTATAGGATGAACCAGTCACCAATCTGGCACTTCTTTGTGATGGTCTCGATTTCCTCAAATGGTCCAAGACGGGCACGGGAGCGGAGCAGATACATCCTCATCTTCATGAAGACAATAACACAAACACGGTACACCATCATCAGACCAGTGCTGATTGAAAGTAGCACAAACCAGAACCACAGGAACACATAAATTTTCTCATTCACGATATTGAGCGGCAACACACAAAGACCATCAAAGGTCTGCACTGAGCCGGAAGGACCATATTTGTGGAAGGTGCACTTGGTAACTTTGGGGAACACACGGGACATGGGGTCACCTCGCTCTTCTGGCTCCATCTCGGTGAATTTCACTACATCAGACCCGTAGGTGGTGAACTCTCCGTCCAGGAACAGATCCATGAAGTAGATCTGTCCGACCACATTCACGAAGTTGAGGGCCTCACAGATGAAGAAACGGAAGGCATAGAAATTTTGTTGATGTAGATTGGTGGTGAAGTAGTCGACCAAGAGCTTCTTGCGGTCCTCCTTGCAGTCCTCTGACACCACAGGGCAGTTGAGGTCCAGGACCAGCATCTTGATGCGGCCGCCCTCCCACGTCTTCCACAGGTAGCGGGGCACGTAGAACAGGATGGCCTGGAAGAACAGGGCGAAGCACACCCACTGGTAGTACTTGTGGTACTTGATCTCGTCCCGGTCGGTGTGCGAGGCGACCCCCGGCTGGATCACATCCTTGCCGATGCGGCCATTGCCCCGGTTGGGGATGGTGAACGTCGAGTAAATCCAGCAGTAGGTATCCATCACGTTAAGGGGGATCTCGTCCACGATGCAGTCGATAGGGTCTCCGATGTATTGTCTTGAAGTCACTAGCAGCGAGAACGCAATCAAAATGATGACGGTGGCTTTGTAATGGAGCCTGAATATATTGTTGTCGATGTAAACTGTGTCCAGCTTCAGCAGCCCCTTCACGGAGCCGAACACGTCAAACATTTTGCCGTTTGTAGCACGCGGCCTTCACACAAACAATCTATTGTTCAGTTATTCCAGTCTGTCACTCACACACACATGCACACACACACCAAAACACGCCCGAGGTCTTTCCGTCTGCTACGTGCTCCCTTGAGCACACTCTCAGAACAACTGCCAACAACGCGTCCGCGGCGGCGTTGTGTTGACCGGCGTGGCCGCCAGAGCGCGCCGGCGTCGACTGTCCGAGGCACGCGGCGGGGAAGGGGAGAGGAGGAAGGGGGCGGGGAGGAGGAGTGCGAGGTGCGGGGAGTAGCGGGGAGGGGTGGAGGAGGGAAGCCCGCTTGCAGCGCTTGCAGCCGCAGCGCGCAGCGGGCCAAAGCCACTGGCTGGAGGACTGCAGCGACTGCAGCGGCGGTGCAGGGACAACGAACTGCAGTGACTTGGGCCTGGCCCAACAGTCTAGCCTCTCCACTCACCAACCTCGCATTACATTTTTCGATTTTGAAGTTTCCGCAGGAAGTTTGGGAACAGAGTCGGCCGGAGCCGCAGCAGATCGCGCCGCGGCTCCGGGCCAGGCCTTGGAGCTTGTAGGGCCGGGCGCGGGGGAGCGGAGGGGAGGGGCTCAACTTTCTCTGTCTATGCTTCCGTCCAGCCGCGGCCAGAGCCAGATAGGGGCCAGCCCGCCGGCCCCAGGACGAGCCACCGGGGGTTTCAAGTGCATCAGTGCATCGTTCATAAGACCACCCCGACGAGGTGGGGTTGCCTGACGGATGGCAGGAGTGCACGGGGAGTGCAGGATGGCCGGTGACAAGGGGAGGGGGGAGGGCAGGGAGGCAGCTGCCGGAGGGGTTGTTTGCGGCCCAGCCCGGCCGGAGAGGGTGAGGCAGGGCAGGGTGAGCGCGGGGGTCCTCTGGGTAGCGGGGCGGCCGTCAGCCGAAACGCCGCGCAACATGACGCAACGCGCAGCGATGTTTCCTCGCCAAAAGGCAAAGCGAGGAATCTGGACTCCGGATGCGCGATGTGCGATGCGCGATGTGCGATGCGCGATGTGCGATGCGCGATGTGCGGCGGGGTGAACGGCGCGGCCCCCTCCCTGCCGGGCCTGACCAGCCAGACCCTCGCCCCAAGCCTCGCCTCGCCCACCCCTGGCCAAGCCCGGCCAAGCCCGGCCCGGGCAGGTGGACAAGCCGTCGGCCGTGGCGGCGTTAGCGGGTTAGGCCCCTTCGGATCCGTTCCCACCGAGCAGAGTCATGGCCGCGCGGAGAGTGCGGAGAGGGAGGCGAAGGAGAGCGGCGGAGAGAAGGAGGAGCGAGGAATGTCAACGACACGGTCTCGGTCTCGGCCTGGCTCTCGCTCGGCTCGGTGTCGGGCCGGTCGGCCGGTCGGCGGCACGGCGGTCGGGTTGGCCATCGTGGCCGGAGCCTCCAGCGTATCCAGCGCGGTGCGGCGCGGAGCCTAGCGGTGCAGCGATGCCAACTCTCAGCCTGCCCCTCTGCTCCGGCCCCGCGCCCCACGCCCCGCGCCCCGCCGGAGTTCGGCCGTTCGATCCGATGAGCGAAAGTCCCAATCGAAGCCGGTGATCCGATTCGGTCCGGTCGCGCCCCGGGAGGACGGACTAGGATGGACGCCCCCGCCTCACTTGGGCAGCTCACGGGGTGCTCTTCGACGTGATCCTGGAGACACGTCCAACAGTGTAGTCCTGGATTTTAGGGGGTCAGAGGCCTGGGCGGCGGCGTGCGAGTGACGGAAGCGCTACCTTCCACGCGCCCCAGAATGCCCTCATGGGAATTTTGGGAAGAGCAGGGAAGTCGCCAGCTGGGAGTTCCAGTCTGGAACTCAGCGGACGAAGCCACTTCGCTCCCACTTCCAGGAAATTCCAGAATGTAACATGTTTTGAAGTCGCCGGAAGTCAAGATCTCTCTTCCATTGACGTCCGAAGACTTCCCCAGACTTCCCAGTTGCTTCCACCGACGTCCGTGCCACTTCCCGAGACATCCCACCCACGTCCAGGGACATCCTACGACTTCCGTTTACATCCTGCGACGTCCGACCCACGTCCAGGGATGTCCAACGACTTCCCTTTCACTTCCAGCGACGTCCGATGACTTCCCTGCCACTTCCCAAGACGTCCGACGACTTCCCTGCCACTTCCTAAGACGTCCGATGACTTCCCTGCCACTTCCCAAGACGTCCGACAACTTCCATGCCACTTCCAGTGACGTCCGACGACTTCCCTGCCACTTCCAGTGACGTCCGACGACTTCCCTTCCACTTCCCAAGTCGCCCGACCCACTTCCAGCGACGTCCGCTGACTTCCCTGCCACTTCCAGGGACGTCCGACGACTTCCCTGCCACTTCCCAAGACGTCCGGCGACTTCCATGACAATTCCAACAACGTCCCCTGACTTCCATGAACATCCCCGCCACTTCCGCTGTCTTCCCACGACTTCCACCGACATCCCCGCCACTTCCATTGACTTCCCACGACTTCCACCGACATCCGTGCCACTTCCATAGGCTTCCCACGACTTCCACCGACATCCCCGTTACTTCCATTTTCTTCCCATGACTTAGAGGGACGTCGAGGGACGTCGAGGGACGTCGTGGGAAGTCGAGGGAAGTCCAGGGAAGTCGTGGGAAGTCGACGGAAGTCGATGGAAGTCGATGGAAGTCGACGGAAGTCGATGGACGTCGATGGAAGTCGATGGAAGTCGATGGAAGTCGACGGAAGTCGAGGCCGAGGGAAGTCGTGGGAAGTCGAGGGACGTCGTGGGACATCGTCGGACATCGTGGGAAGTCGTTTGACGTCGAGGGAAGACAAGGGCAGTCGCGGGAAGTCGAGGGAAGTTGATGGAAGTCGAAGGAAGTCGATGTGGAAGTCGAGGTCGAGAAAGGTCGTGGGAAGTCGTGGGAAGTCGCAGGAAGTCGAGGGAAGTCGATGGAAGTCGATAGTGGAAGTCGAAGTCGAGGGAAGTCGTGGGAAGTCGCGAGAAGTCGGGAGAAGTCGAGGGAAGTCGATGTGGAAGTCGATGTGGAAGTCGAAGTCGAGGGAAGTCGTGGGAAGTCGCGGGACGTGGAAGTCGTTGGAAGCCGAGGGAAGTCGGCGGAAATCGTTGCACTTTCTTGGATGTGGCTGCGTAATCGGGCTGAAGTTCCGCCAGCTTTCGTACTTAGTCGTCCCCAGGAGGACGTCATCGGCCACCTCATGGGGTGCCCGATGACGTCCCTACCGTGTCACCGAGACCAAGCAATGGGTAGGTCCTCACTCAAAGCAGGTCCGAGCCAGACTGACACATCCGGCGTCCAGGGACCACCTCGGACCCATTCCCCCACCCACGACTTGTCTCGATTTATCTCGGATGTCGGTGGAAGTCGTGGGAAGACTGTGGAAGTGGCGCGTATATCGGTGGAAGTCGTGGGAAGACAGTGGAAGTGGCGCGGATGTCGGTGGAAGACAGTGGAAGTGGCGCGGATGTCGGTGGAAGTCGTCGGTAGACAATTGAAGTGGCCGGGACGTCGGTGTAAGTCGTGGGAAGACAATGGAAGTGGCGTGGATGTCCGTGGAAGTCGTGGGAAGACAATGGATGTGGCGGGAAGTCGGTGGAAGTCGTGGGAAGACATTGGAAGTGGCGCGGATGTCAGTGGAAGTCGTGGGAAGACAATGGAAGTGGCGGGGACGTCGGTGGAAGTCGTGGGAAAACAATGGAAGTGGCGCGGATGTTGGTGGAAGTCGTGGGAAGACAATGGAAGTGGCGGGGACGGGGGCGGAAGTCGTGGGAAGACATTGGAAGTGGCGCGGATGTCGGTGGAAGTCGTGGGAAGACAATGGACGTGGCGTGGATGTCCGTGGAAGTCGTGGGAAGACAATGGAAATGGCGGGAAGTCGGTGGAAGTCGTGGGAAGATAATGGAAGTGGCAGGGATGTCGGTGGAAGTCGTGGGAAGACAAGGGAAGTGGTGGGGACGTCAAGGGAAGTCGGGGGACGTCGTTGGAAGTCATTTGGACGACTGGGGAAGTCAATGGACGTATTTGGACGAACACGGATGGAATTGGAAGAGTTGGGACGAATTTGGAAGTGCAAAATGACTTCCGAGTGACGTCCCAGTTCTATCAGGGTGACGTCCACGGCGTCGGAGCAGAGGTCGACGACGACGCGTTGAGCAGAGGCATGGGCGCGGCGCAGACGCCGAACGGCGCTTCGCTGCTTCGCTGCTTTGCCCGAGTCCCAGGAGGCAAGGCAACGCAGCAGCTGCCCTGTCCTGGCGGTACTGGCGGCCCTCCCGCACGGCGGACAGCAAGTCCGGTCTTCAGAGTCCTGTGCACAGTGTGCCCTGGGGCCGGCCCCATTCGCACCCGCGCCCTTCACCCGCAGGCCCCGACGCCCCAAGCGCCAAAAGCGGACAAAATATTCCGATACCGGGAATCGAACCCGAGCCTCCTGGGTGAAAGCCAGAAATCCTAACCACTAGACCATATCGGAGGATGTCAACGCCGGGGAGCGTCCCGAGCCTGCCTGTGCTCCACCACGCCGGCGGGGAGACTTGCATGCACGGGACTCCCCCCGGCAGCCCAGCCCCGCCCCACCCCTCCACCGCTCCCCCTCCGCCGAAACCCCGAAACTGCACCCTGGGCGGCACCCGTCACCGTCACATGCGAGCTCATCACGGCCGAGGTGTTCTTGGCTTGCTTCGCGGAAAGTGACTCGACGGCCGCCCACGCGCGCCGTGCTTACAGCGTATGTGCCGTACCGGCCGTACCGCGAACTGCGTGCCGAATGGGGATTTCCGCCGCGTCCAGCACGGCCAGCACGGGCCGGGCGGGCCGTACCGCCCAGACCGCGGGCAATCATCGCGGGCGTGCGAATCCAATCCGCGGAGCCGACGACCGCCAGCTGCTCTAGAGCATTACATGCGGGTCTTATCTCGTCAAAATGAAAATGAAACACCGCGACGCTGATACGACACACCACAGTCCCTGGTGGCCGAGGAGCCCGGAGAGAAAAGGCGGTTCATTCTCTCGTTTAGGATAGGAGCGTCGGCGCGGCGCGCGACTCGACTCGCGAACCGCGGCCCGACCGCTGCCTGCACGCCGTCTGACGCCGTCGGTGCGAGAGAGACAGTTGCGCTATTTCCGGAGGCCTCTCTCTCTCCCTCTCTCTCTCCCTGGACTCGGCTTGGTCTCGCCTGGACAGGGCAGAAC